CTAAGACATACTAGGTGAGCAGTATCACAACTTAAAGAAGAGTCTGGAAACTTTCGGCAAGGTACTATACCACATTCTATACACTAGCACTACCATTACATTTTCACTTACCTCAAAATCCCATATTGCCTTAAGATTCAGAGCACTATCTTGCTCTTCACTTTCGATTTCTTTCCTCATTCCTGTTGGATCGTCTTGGCCTCGCAAGACCTTTAAGAAATGAATACAGCATATTATACATAGTCACAAACTATTAAAGCTAATGATTATTTTCAATATATATATATAACAATATTAGTAAACGGTAATGCCTCGTAAAAGCGATTTCTTAATGTGCTTAACAAATGCCATTTTACTAAAATCACAATTCCTGCTAAGTTAACTTGCGTAGGTGATATGATAAGTGCTGTGCTCATGCTAGTTTTTTTAAAGGGCTACTATGTACTTACTTAAAGTCCGTCGCTCCATATGGAGTATAGACCATCGACGACTCTTCTCCAACCAACTCGATTATGAGCTGGGTTTTGTTTTTTTTTACCTTTCTCCAGGTGTACCCAACTCTCTTAAATTCTACTTCTGTATCTCTGTTATTATATCTGTCTTGTTCGTTTACCTTGCGAGTTCCATGTCAGAGACTGCCAGGTGATAATAAATTTACCTTCCTTAGGGTATGTCCTAGCCAACCCCACTTTTTTTTGCTGTGCTTGCTTGCCAATAGGCTCTTGATGAGACCTGTCCCATAGATCTTCATTCCTTACTTTTGCATGCCATTAGTTGTTTAGTATCCTATGCAGACTGTTGTTCACAAACGTCTGGAGCTTGCGCAAAAATGTTTTTTCATCTTCCCTGTTTCTGGTCAGCACAAGAGCACAGGTTTCACAATGGAATTGTAAATCATCATTTTTTATAGCGGTTTCCATTCTTTTAATGACACTGCCTAAGTATATAAAACTAATAACTTCCTCCAAAGGCTCTCATCCCAAGAGGATAGGGCTGTTGTTGGTGCTGTTGTATTTCATCAGCTTGGCTTTACCTTTGTTGACGGTTAATCCTATTTCATGTTAACTGGTTTTTAAGGTGATGGCTTTATCCTACTCCTACAGTTGGATGTGTGAGAGGAGTGTCGGATCGTCAGCAAACTCCAAATCATCCACGTACTACTGTATCCCGTTCCTTTTCCCTTGTGTTATAGTCCTCGTGATCCAGTCTATCACTAAAAGGAAAAGGAAGGATGACAGAAGACGTCCTTATCGAACCCAGATCCTCACCTCAAAATTATCGGTAAGCTGGGTTAATGTGTGCTAGTGGTAAAATCTCACCTTTGATGCTAATAAGATATAATGTAGTTAAAGATGTGATTCTCGTCTGGCTACGTTTTATGTGCTGGTAGTAAAATCCCGGCTTTTCTAGTGATAAGGTAGTACATGTGCTATTGACGTGATTCCAGTTCCGCTACTAGTAAGATAATAGTTTATAATAGTAAGTCTGCTATTGGTAAGATGGTAAGATGTGTTGTTGGTTATATATATATATTATATATGGCAAAGTTAAATTCGTAAGTTCGTAATCGATTATTAGTTTCCTGAGAAAGATCAACATTTTAGCTACCCAAGAACACTTAAAAGTGTATAGTTAATATTTTTGAGACTACGTAAGTCATGTTTAAATATTTTTTGAAGTAAAACAGATATGTTTAAATATTTTTGAAGTTAAGTAAAATAGTCGTGTTATTATATTTTTGGAGCTACGTAAAACAATCTGTTTGAAACATGGAATTTTTTTCGGTATTTGAATTCGACAAGCCAACATTTCATCATCACCTACACTTCCTAAGGTTTGTTTTGTTGCTTTTTAATCTTACATTATCTAACCAACTATATATTTTACAACAGAATGACAATGAGAAATCATCGTTTCAAAAAGTAAGTTATATCATAAATTTTATTGTCTAAAGAGTTTCCAAAATATGTCTGTTAACTCTGGAAGTTTTTTTTTTTGTAGTATCTGAATATCATTCCCACCTATCCATAAACTTAACGTAATAAAGCAGCTAAATGGGAGTGAACTCTTTTCTTAATACCCCTTTCTCTACACCAAAAAAGCAAAACTATTTTTAAGTGGCTTCACAAACATTAACGTAATGAACTCCAAACTACAAGTCTATATTGAACGAAATTGTTCAATTATAAAGTAATGGAATTAACTGAATGAAGCCAAACTTCATCTACTTATATTGATCGTTATCTTAATCACCCTAAAAGTTTTAATAATAGGTAATTTATACTGTCATTGACGTAGTGTTTAATGATGCTATACCCCGTTTACGTCATGTCGAATAAGCTTTTTATCGATTGGCTTCGATTTACTGAAGGACTTGCCAGAGAAGATTTATATTGAGTTTACTTAGTTCTTGCTGTGTGTGTGCGTGTGTATTCAGTGAAATATTCGGTAAAAAATTATTTCGAACAATTCTGGGTAAAATATAATTTTTAAGTTCTTCAAAAGCTTACATTTTCAGGTACCAATTTTAAGGATACCAAGTCAGAGATAATCTTACAGAAATCTAAATGTCTTTATATGTGGCCATTCTTTCTAAAGGAACTAAAATAAAACGTTTTCATTACACTTTATTTACCGCTATAGTTTCCATAGTTTGAGATATTTTTTTTACTTCACATCTGATGTACAATATTGAGAATGAACCTGCTTCAAGTAAAACTCACAAATATTTACGTAATAGTTAACTGTGAGATGAGAAACTGTTTGTACCAGTTAAAATATAGTGACTGTTTTATTATTCGAAATTAAAATATAGCAAACGATTTCTTAAGCACATCCGAATAATTCAATCCAAAACTTTAAGCAAAAAATAATAATCAGACCATGAATACTTCATACTTACTTTTGGTATTGAACCGGGCAAACTTAATACTTACTTTGTATATAATTACATGAAAATATTTAGAGTATCAAACACTGAAAACTTAATACTTGCTTCGGATAACAAACTCCGCAAACTTAATATTTATTTTGAGTACCAAACCAGCAAAATGTAAATCTTATAATGGGTGCGAAATATTGAAAATTAATACTTACTTTGAATATCAAGCCATAGAAAAATTTAACTATTTTTCACACCAAGCAACGAAAAATTAGTTCTCACCTCGGGTACCATAAGAAAACAGCAAACAAATGTGGTGATGAAAACGTTTATCCAAAACACCCAACGAAGAAACGTGAAATAAGAAGCGACAACGGATCCAAAATGACCTACAAATACATCCCAACACTAATTTTACAATATGAAAGCAACACTAATAAATTCAGTTGTAGTGCCAAAATGTACAACAAAATGGTCCAGATTAGAGTCGTAATTGTGTTCTAAAAATGTAAACATAAAGTCAAATTTTAGTTTTATCTTGGCTTCTTTATTTGATATAATTATAAATGTCCACAAAAAAGTTTTGAATTACAAAATGTTATATGAAAACAGAAAGTATTTTGTTAACTAGCGCTGAAAAAATTACAATTTTCAATATCTTGTAAACGTAAACAATTCATTGAGTTGCTGTTTATTAACAATAAAATAAAACATTACAATACTTGAAAATCACCAAGTATTAGGTAAGGGATTATCCAATAACTCCAAACGTATGTAGAACTGTTAAAAATGATTTATCAACTCTGTGCAAATATAAACCATATAATCTAAATGTTTGTGTAAATCCATTTTAAAACATTTAATATATTGGATAATTAAAATTACTGTCCGGGACCTGAAAGCTGTATAAAAATACAGGTCTGACACATCTCATCTTTGATCAGTGGGTTACCTCACGACGCTTGATAAACTGCACAGTTTGCAGAGATATGACAATTAATGTCGACCGCGTAGAAAAATGCTTGGTATTACTGCAAGAAAGGCGTTTGTAATGCACTAATTGAGACCAGAAATATGGCATTGATCCATTACCTACTGTAAATGAATATTGGTCAATCTTGATGAAAGTGGATGCCAAAGAGTGAGACTCAAAGTCACCCAGTAAGACTCAAATCGTAAAAGCATAGCATCTAGGAAGGAGGGAGACTACGTGCATCCGTAAGAATACGCTTCTCCTATAAGACTTTGATATACACACACACACACACATTGCAATACTCCACTTTCATAAACCTAACAAACCTGGTTGAGTTTATAGCCGTTACCCACTGTTCTAACAAAACTTGTGTATCCACTCTCAGGCAGTTAAATTCTTTTCACATAATGCCTTGTGATATTATGACAATTCCAGTGAATGACAAAATTTATTGACCCCATATAACCTAATCTACACCTCAATGTTTACCTCCACCTTTTTTACCTATACATTTTTAATTTAAGTCATCACTCAGGTTCTAAACATTATAAGCAATTATCGTAGGACATTTGATACTTCCTTTTTTGATCCAGTTGAAGGTTTTATAAGAAGCTTTAAATAGTAAAGAGATATAATTACATAAACTGCATTGACACCCTACACGGCTATTTGTAATGAAAATATTATACTACTGAAAGAATCCACCATTAGTCATAATAAGCAAGCCAAGAATGATTTACAAACATAATAAAGTTATTTATTATATTTTTCGACAGAACATTGGTCTGTCTTCTACAGGTCGAAACATGTAGTATGCCCCCCCCCCCAAAAAAAACTAAAACTTTATTATGCTTATACATCGTTGTTTGCCAGCTTATTATTATATAAGCATAATGTCTTTCCTTACTCAACCACCGTTAGCCTGCGATAAGTTTGCGGGCTTACAACGCTAAAATCTAGAGTTTGACAACTCGCGGTGGACAGGGCTTTGAGCTAAAACAACAACTATTAACGAACAACTGATTCTGACCTAATTGTGAGTAATAAATATGGAAACCAACCAGCAAATATAAAATTAGTTAATTTTGTAAATCAGGGTACAGTTTGTCATGTTTATGTCAGTCATATTTATATTGTCGGGTTTTTTATGTTATTTTTACATGTTATTTTAACTTACTTTCAATTCTTTTGATCCTCATTTCCCAGGGAGTTAGAGTGACTACAAGGTTTGCCAGCTCCCTTTTGCACCTCTGGGACCACTAAAGATAAGAAAATGTATACAGTTTATGTATATAATGCTTATTATAGCGAGGTGATAGAAGTCGCAGAGACTATCTGGCATCTACTGAATGGCTATTTTATTAACCATTCACCTTCTATGTCGACTCATACATAATATTTCTTACCTACTTTTATCAATAATAGCGAAGTGTTATTAAAATTCAAAGGAATTTTTCATAATTTTAGCGTATGCACGGTTCCAGACATGCTTATAGTCTTAACAATGAAGTGACGCTCAAAGAAATTTGCTAATCTCCTTTCGCTCTAGTTACATGTTGTTCTGGATCATTCCACTTTAGTGTTACATGTAATTTACCGTGTAGATGTGGACAATATTTTTTAAAGGTAATGCTGCAAAGTGTAATCTCCCCTCATTTATTCTGTAATGGAACGACTAATAGCGACACGAGTTTCTCGTGCTTTGGAAGAAAAAACATTGTTCTGATAATGAGTGGCTCTCTCGGTTTTAGCATATTTTACGGGCAGCGAATATTTATTTTCCAGTAACAATAGTAAGTTAGTTATATACCATACCTCTCTTTAAGACTACTTTCATTAACAGTATTGATTATTATGATAAGACTAAGCTGGCCAAGCCACATATAACTTTTACCACAGTGAAGATACGGGGTGTTGGTTAGAATATTTAATATATCTACTTTTATATTTTATTTTTTTTATATTTAAATCTGACGATTGTTATTTTGTTATAATGATTAATCTGCACTGTTATCTTAACATGTGAATTTCGGACAAACCTAAGCCTCCTGGGCTGGTCAAATCTCGTGAGATATTATTGTGTTTATGGTCAAAAATATCATAAACAACAAAGGTACTCAACTGAGTTCTAATCTATGTGGTAGCTTACTTTGATCAGAAGTCAATATTAATCAGGTTAGACTACCTTTCACTGTTATCATAGTTTGACTTGGTACAACAATAACTTAATAAGATGACAGAAGATGTAAAGAAACCACTCATCGAGGAATGTGGTCTTCCATTAAGTCAGTGGTAGATTTTACATTTACGAATATCTCAAAAATAGTCAACCACATTGAGATAGAGTTTCATTATTGTTCTTGAAAAGCCTTTACACTCTAAAGTGGATGTAGCATTGTGGAATGGCTTTCGTATACGCAATGGTTATTCACCATTATAAAAGAATCAAAAAACAACCTGTTCCACAATAATGTTTCTACACCATTACACATCTCCTTCACCTTGTGCTTTTGAAACAATAAAAGCATGGTCAAAATACAGAAAAAGTTGAAACACGACTCATCAGGCCAAATTACTCTCTTCATTGTCCACATTTTGCTCCCTAAATATCAATGAAGTCATGCTTTTCTGTTTGCATCTTAGTTAAGCAGTTTTTGAAATAGTCGTAGACTACCACATAATATTTCTAATGAGTTTCACATGATATAATGATGAAGGAGCATTGAAGGGACCCCTGGAATTCTGCTTTACAGAAACGTCCAGTTTTGTTTTCCACAAGCAGTTATTGAACACAGTTTTTCCTAACACCAGACATTTTCCTTCGATTGTCAGTATTGACAAACTTTTATAACATATGTCTCTAAAACCAGTCAAAGAGACGGTCTGCGATAACGACATTACTGCTAGGCGGGAACATACTATCTTACCCCTTTGTAAGTCGGAGGTATCCTTACTCTTAACAACGGATTAAAGAGGTGCAGGAAAGAACTTGACACAACACGTTATCAGTTCAATTTTGAATACGCAAATAAATGGAGTGCTCTATAAACGTGTATTCAATAATCCTTGGATACGGCTTCAATGGGTAATGAAGAAAAACTTTAATATAAGTTTAACATAACAGCAAATGTACACCTCTACCTCAAACTTTCTCCAACCACAGAAAAAAAGAAATCCATGACATCAACCAACAGACTTTCATTACAGGCAACTGCAACAAAATGTGGTTTTCCCGAAGTTCCCACAAACTGTATTTTAAATAACTTTTTAAATAATTCTCGAACAAGACTATTAATATAGTCAACCAATCCCTCACAAGTAACGAGATCAAATCCATTTTATAATCTGAAAAAAGACATTAATATTAAAATTCTAAAAGCTGATAAAGGCAACACCACTGTAATCATGAACAATTCTGGGTACATCGACAAAATGAACGACATCCTTTCCGACAAAAAGAAATTCAAAGCCATCCCAAACAACCCAACAAACACATGCGAAAAACAATTAAACAGAACTTTATTACAAATGAAAAAAAAGGTAATTACCGACGATCTTTATTTTTATCTACTTAAAACTGATTCACGCACACCACAACTCTATGGCATTCCTAAAACACACAAACAGGACTGCCCCCTACGACCTATACTCTCCACTTACGGTTCCTTCAACTACAGTCTTGGCAAATACATAGCCTGGGCT